TTGCACGGCGAGTTGAAGCTCGCAAACTACTTCGATTCACCCGCAGAGTCACATTGTGGCAGGCTCGGAGCGGTCGGGCCATTTTGGGTGAGAACCCAGTTACTTTCATTGGCATGGAAGGAACCTGACATCATTGATGCCTTCGGCCATCTGGATGAAGCTATTTGTGATCAATGTCAATATGGACTTCGCCATCCAGAGAACGGCATGCCTATCAAGAAGCCCACGAGGTTTGTGGGTCAAGCTGAAGTAGTTTCGGAACTCCACCACCGTTGTCCTGGTGATCATCAACATCACCAGATTGAGGGCACTGTCAAAACCAGTGCCTATGGCAGAATTTCGCTTTCCTCTTGGGCAGGTGGCTACCCCCTGCCGCTGTGCCGCGCCATCATGCGAGGCGTGCACACCTTCTTGGACAAGCAGGCCAATGACACCCGCACGGAGGTCTATATGTTGGATGACCAGGTGCCAGAAGAGGCAATCCAAGAAGGAGAGGAAGGCATCGATGAGGAAGAACAACGTATTCAATCCTACAAGGATGAGAGCGAGAATGATCTTGAAGAGGAGGAGAGGCGACCCATCTCTCAAGAGGTGAAGAGGGCTGTTGAATTTGCCCACCGGCAGTTGGGCCATCCCAGCAGGGATACACTTGTTCGCACGCTGCGAATTTCAGGAGCGAATGATGATGCAATCCGGCATGCTCGCCGATGGCATTGCGATGTCTGCAGGATGCAGCAGCCACCAAAGCATCCACTCGCCACAACTGCTACTTCAAGACCATTTGCTTTCAACCGAGTTTTGCACATTGACATCAAGTATCTCTTCGACACCCAGGGTCGGAAGTATCCTTGTTTGAGTATTGTTGACCTTGGAACTGTGTACCATGCAGGCTGCATGTTGAAGACCAGAAGGTCAGACTACGTCGCCCGTAAATTCTTGGTTCACTGGGTACAATTGTTTGGAGCCCCAGGGCATATTTATCATGACCAAGGCGGCGAGTTCGAACTGTCTTTTACACAGCTTTTGGAGCAAATGGCTGCGCCCAGCACAGTCACCGGATCGCATGCCGGTTGGCAGTTGGCCGTCGGAGAACGGCGTGGAGGAATCTTGGGAACCATGGTTGGAGCAATCACAACCGAGCACGTCACGGAAGGTTTCCATGGCATGAAGTTGGCATTGAGCTCAGCGCTGGCAGCCAAGAACATGACCATTACCCGTGATGGTTTCAGCCCCAACCAGAGGTTGTTTGGAACGGAGGTCCGCTATCCCAGTCTTTTGGAGGACGATGTCAAGCCTAGCTTTGCAGAGAGCTTGGACACCGAGACTGAGTTTGCAAGATCCCATCGTATGAGAACCACTGCCAGGTTAGCACTGATCCGGATGGATGTCCAGGAAAAGATGAAACGGGCCATTTTGAGGAAGCCCGGTGTGGACACGGAAGGTCCATATGTTCCTGGATGCCAGATTTACTTCTGGGTGCCTAAGAAAGCTTCAAAAAGATACAGTCGAGGAGGTATCTGGCGTGGACCTGCAACAGTTTTGGTTCGTGAAGGACACCAACGCTATTTTGTTAGCTGGAGAGGACGCGCCTTGCTCCTTGCAACGCCAAACATGCGTTTGGCTACAAAGGAAGAACTGGCCATGAATGAGCCCGCAAAAGAAGATGCAGAAACCATTGGCCAGATGCTTCGCGATCCAGAGCGTGATAACGCCTATCACGACCAAACCCATTTCAAAGGAGCTCCCAAGCGGAAGCACATCAGAGATGACCCTGAGCGCAAACGTGCCCGATTGATGATGCGAGGCACCAAGTCAATCCGGGAGTTGCTCAAGAGCCGGTTTGGATTCAAAGAACAGCTCAGGAAGCGCAAGGTACAGCTCCAGCCGCCAGAGAAAGGAGATCCGGTAGAGCCGAGGAAGAAAGTCAAGAAGGCCCTACCTCCACCGCCTGCGGCGGAGTCTCAAGACTCAATGGAGGAGTATACACCTTCTCAAGCACCAGAGCCAGAGGCTCCACAGGAAGGCCCGCGGCCTATGCTTCCTGCTCCAAGTTCAGCTCCAGCGGAGCCACCTACAGAAGCCCCGCGGGCTGAAGATGTTCCAGTGCCACCCATGGATGAAAATGAGTGGTTGGAAGAGTACAGACATCTTCCTCAGGAAGAACGCCGTCGCATTCTTCAAGATGGTGTCCCACATGGGATCAAAAGGAAAGGTGGCATCACTGAAGAAGATGCTGATCGAGCAGTGAAGCGCCTCAGAAGCAACTTCTGCGCAGCGACTGCAGCCAGCGCTGTGTATGGAACCCTACAGAATGAGTGGGTTTCTCGTTATGAAGTGGAACTGCTAAGACAGCTGACAGGGTTGCCTGTTACAGCAGCTCGCATTCACAGAGCGCCACGGAAGAGGCTGCAACGACCCCCGAAGATGGTGTCGCGCTCCCGCTTGAGTATCCTCATTGGAAAGGATCCAGCAAGCACTTTCATTGTCAATGAGAAAGACGCAGAGGTTGCAGCCCATCCCCGTCGGCGAGCCAGCTTCGAGTGGCGGGGTCTTACACTGTTTTACCGTACTGAAGACCCAAGCAAGCCTACGGAAGTATTTGTCGAACTGCCAGACGGCATTCATGGGGTGACGCTCACCACCAGTGAGGCAGCAGAGTTCCAGCAAATTTGGCTGGAGGAAATGCACGATACCCTCCTTGCTGAAGTGATGATTCTAAGGATGAAACAGAGTGGCAAAGAGCTGGACCCTAGCTTCTTTGACGCTTTCGAGCGACAAGCCTTCAACAAATCGGACATCAAAGAATGGTCCGAATGGATCAAGAACAAGGTCGTCCGGAGGGTGGAAAAGGGCGAGTATGTCCCGCCTTCGTGCATCTTTAGAGCGCCGCTGCGCATGTTACGGGTGAACAAAGCAGCAAGCCCACTTCTGCCTTTGGTGGCCAAGTCACGGCTGATTGTACCAGGTCATTTGGACCCACACCTGGGTGAGTTCCGCACTGACTCACCTACATGCCCACAGGCTGCAGTTCGAGCAGCAAAGGCTATTGCTGCTGCCCGCGGATGGGGAGGAGTGACATTCGATGTCACGACTGCATTTTTGAGTGGGAAGGAAACTTCTCGTAAATTGTACATCCGAGCACCTCGCGAGGGTTTGCCACCGGCAATGGGATGGCCACCCATCAAGTCAGGAGAGTTGCTTGCGATTCTCAAAAGTGCCTATGGTCTCACAGAATCCCCAAGGTTGTGGTACCTGGAGGCAGTGGACCGACTTAAGGGCACTCCACTCAAAGAGCTAGCAGTCAGCCGCTCCACGTTTGTTGCCGGAGGCTCCCGGAGTGAACGGTGTTTGGAAGATAGTTGGGCAATTCTTTGCTTGCATGTTGATGATGGCTTATTGCTGGGCGATCTCAGCGACCCTCGGGTAATCGCCTTGCGCAAGCAAATTGACAACCTGTTCACCATCAAGGAATGGAAAGAAGTCACTGCAGAGAAGCCAATTCAATTCCTGGGTGTTGAAATCACCAGGGATTCTTCTGGATTTCATGACGACATGAGCAGGTACATCAAAGAAATCAAAGTCGAAAAGCTGCAAGGGGAAGGTCTTTTGGGACCTCGTGAAGTCACACTATACCGCCAGTTGGTTATGCGTCTTCGTTGGCCGGCACAGCAAACAATGCCACACATGTTGGACGAAGTCTCCAATCTGGCGCAGAGGGTGACAAAGGCAACCCATGCAGACTACAAGGAAGCAGTAAAATTGCATCAGAAGTTTGTGGAAGAAGCCAATGCTGGCCGAGCCAGGTTGACCTATCCACCGCTGGACAAGAACAATAAGTGGTTCTATGTCAGTTACTTCGATGCGTCCCTCGGGAAAGAATCCGATGGAAAGTCACAGTTGGGTGCCGTACACTTTCTAACCACTGCAGCAGCTCGTACAGGACCGGCCGCCGCCGCGCCAGTTGAATTCAGTACAAACAAGAGTTCTCGAGTGCTGCGCAGCTCGATGTCTGCCGAAGCATGCTCAATGAGCATTTGCGTGGACCGCCATTTGTATGGTCGACTCGTTATCGACATGATGCTCTACGGGTACAAGACTCTGGATGAGAATTGGCGAACCACAATGGGAATTTCTGGAGGCGTTGTCACTGACGCCAAGAGCCTGTATGACCACATGGGTACAACAGGACAGATCCCGACAGAGCGGCAGACCATGCTTGACTTGATGGTGGCTCGTGACCACCTCGAGTCAGGTGCCTACGAACTTTTCTCGGTTCCAACTCACCGCCAACATGCAGATGGGTTGACCAAGAAGATGAAGAACATCCTATGGGAGACCTTCTGCAAGCTCCCCAGGATTTCTCTCAAGGAGACCGAGGACGAGCGGAAGCTAGAGGAGCACAGGAAAGGTTTGAGGAAGGCACAGCGACAGCGTCGCAAGGACCGCATGAAGGGCCGCGAACCTTCTCAGGCAGCGCCTGCTCATGTACAGTATGTACAGTTGCAATCATGTCAACACACTCTTTTGGCTATGTGAAGATCATAGCTAGGTACAGATAGGTAGCTTGACATGATTTGACTTTTGCATGTATCCGCACCGCAGCTTGTCACAAGCGTTTTGCTTCGGAAACACCGCGTGCTTTCTTTGCGCTTTTGCCCCGCGTTTCGTTCTAGCTTACGCTACCCTGTGCACTCCGCAGCTGCACGGTCGAAAATGTCCTGGCTGCAACACTGAATGAGGCAGACACTGACAACTTTACCGTCACTTCTTCACTGAAGAACGGCAGGGGTTCAAGCGTTGTAAAAGACTATCCTTTGTTTTGGGGGGCAGTAATTCGACAGACTTTCGTTTATTGTTTGTTCCACTTTTTTGTGCAGCCACTAACCTTGTGTGGGTGTGGGTGTTTACAGAGCAAGAAAAAAGAGGATGAGAATGGGGTGACCCAGACCCCTGGGGACAAAACCAAGAAAACCCCTTGGTCAAGCGGCCAAGCGTTTGAGGACTCACGATGCCTGCGAAAGCGGCGAAGATCTCTGTTTCTGCGGAGACAGCCCCCAAGTATTTGGTGGCGAAAATGGAAAAGGTGGGCATGTTGGAGGTTGTTTCGTGCTTGTTGACATGAGCACTTAACTCTGGATCTTCGTTTTCACACTCTGGATCCTTGTTTCTGCGTGTGAATTCCGTGCGGTGAACAAAGAATTGACATGGAAGTGAGACCGCAGACAGGTCACAAAGGCTGTTGCTGGTGTTCTTGTCCTCGACGTTGAACACACAGTGACACAGAATTGTTTGATGGGTTTGCTAAGACTTGTGGTCGTGCGCCTTGCTTGGTACTGGCAGGTCGACTGAGGCTATTGAGCTTGGATAGGGCCCATCTTCGAACGTCCATGATGCATCACACTGACTCACTCACATGTAAGTGGATGGCACCACCTGTTTCCTAGAGGAAAATCGAACTCCTACCGTTGTCTTCCATGCGACTGAGTCATCATGTATCTGTTCGATCCTGAAATGGATCTTCTGGTCCACCCTGCCAAATTGGGTGCACCCTACTGTATGGGGTGGGGTGCTTCGCCTTAAGCCGAAGCTTTCTGTTTTTGTCCATCTCTTTGTTCAGATGTCCTTCAATAGCTCAGCTTGCCCACTCACCGGACAACCACTCACCAAGCTCACGTCGCCCCTGTTTTGGCCGGAGGCGCTGAGGGAGAAGAATGCTTTGAAGCTTCAACTGGCAGGGACCAAGGCGGCTGAACAAGTCGTCTTGGCGCTGGCGATGTTGAACTTTCCGCAACTGGGCTGGAGATGGGGGGGGAGTGGGAAAAAGCATCTCAATGAGAAGGGCATGACTCAATGACCTCGTGCTCCAGTATTTGAAAAGGTTTGGGTGACCGGGATTTGGGTGGGTTCTCCCGATTCTTTGTGGGGGAAGAACTTGGTTTTTGGTTGAGGAGTTACGTACCGGTTTTGCATGACCAAAGGGTGTGGGCATGAGATGAAGGTCATGGTCAGACAGCAGCAAAAGGATCAGCAACAGGCCCTCCCACCTATAAATTAAATATATATATATATTTTTTTTTTGATTGCATGGATTTGCACATGTCAACAGTAATTTTGCTCCAAGAATCGCCAAGTCCTTTTTTGCAAGTGGGACGTGAATCCATTTTGACGCCCGAATTCTGCAGACCTGCCCCTCCCCCCATAGACAGAAAAGAAATCCCGTAGGCCCTACACCAGAAAAACGCGACCTGAAATAGGTTTCGGATGGTTTTAATAAAACTTGAGTTTCTGGGAGTCATTTTTGAGCCACCCTGGCGCAATGATGACGGTAATAACATGTAATAATGTTCAGATAATTATAGACTAAGTTGTTGTCACCAACCCCCAGATGTTCTTAAGCAACCCAAGTGTGTTGTTTCTTTTCCCATGAGAAACCAAGACCCTGGAAGAGGTATCCTGAAACCCGAGCCAACAACAACAACAACAACCACAACCTTAATGTTCGACCCAGCGTCACTGTGCTGACGCACGTTTGGAACTATGACGAGAATACCATATACTGTATAGCTTTGCATCTCGGTTTCAGATGTCCTACGAACATCTCCACACCAACTCTTCAATCATTGTTCTTGCAACCTGACTAATTACTAGAAGTTGAACCCTGTTTCTCCTTGTGCCCTACCCCGCTGCACCCCTTTTCCGCACCTCTTACGCGTGCCGCGTGCCGAGCCTTTGCCCTTTCGCTCGCACCCGTTTTCCCTTTTCGCACCGCGTGCTTCGCGGAAATCGTCCCCTTCGTTCCTCGCTTCGTCCCGATGCGAGGCATCGCTTCAGTTGCTACTTCATGAAGTCCGACTTCCAAAACGCCACCGGTCTAGAGGTCCAGGTCGCTCGCCGTTGGCGACCGCTCTGAGCCTGCAGAAGAGCGGGTCTCTTTTTGCTGAGCCTGCCAGTGGTGGCCAAAGGCAAGGGCAGAGCGAACGAGCGGAACTTGGGTGGGTTGAGTGAGCGATACAGCTTCTGATCATGGAAAAGACACGGATAAAGCTTATGCACGCAGAGTAAGATGATGCAAGATCGTTTGCTTAAGAACAGAAACACACCTTGTGGACATGTCCCGCCGTGTGGTTGGTGAGGTTGGTGACATTTTGGTGACTGGGGGGCTTTAAAGTAAAAAGTCAGATGTTGGTGGCCTGGATTGTCCAAGGGCTGACTGAAAAATGTGTCGCAAAAGGGAGACTCTCACACTCTCGCCCCCAGTGATTTTGCGTTCATCGAGACAAATCTCAGAAACAGGTGACTCCTATAAATTCCCAACACCAAGGACACCAGAGGTTATACGGAGATCTAATTTTAGTGCGAATTCTTTTAGATAGATGGAAACACATGAAGAAAAACATATGATATCATTCTAAAATATTTTAGATAAATGGTCTAAATATGATTCTATGTTTAAGAACTCTTTTTGGATCCTTGGAGCTTTAACGAGTCGGGCCACGAAACCGATGTGATTTTCAGGGCCCCATCTGGGCCCGCATCCCACCTGGGCCCCGCATCCGATCCGCATGTGGAAGCGGAGCAAGACCCATCCGAAAGGGAAGATGTTTCTTTTGGTGTCGAGTTCGCCCATGGTTCTGGATATATATATATATATACATATATATATATATATGGATCTGCTGTCATCATTGGAAATGAGTATTGATGAGTATTGTGTCAAGACACGATGTGATGTGTGATTTGAAAGCCATGAAGAGGAGGGCACAGCAAGCATGATGTCACTGTGAACTATGCCCGCCCATGTGCGACACCTAATCAGTGTATGTCAGGCTTTGTGTGGGTGTGTGTCCACGTGTTGCTTCCAACATACTGAAATGGACTCCCTCAGAGGGTTTCACGTTCAAGAGTAGTGTTCGGGGCTGCAGGACTTTGGGGACCCCCCTTGGATTGCTTCATTCGCGCCTGGCAGGAGCCGAAGCTGCGCGGCTGCTTGTGATTAGGGGGAAAATGTCCAAGCAACGCCAGGGATGGGTGGCAGAGTTCTCAGCATGGAGATGGTCTTCAATTGTGCTTCTTCAAGATTAAAAGTTTGGGCACAGTGGGGAACGAAGGAAAGCAAAGCAGGACAAAGTAACAAGCTATTCTCAATCAAAGCACAAGTCGACATTGGATGATCCTAATCCTAGATGCTTAGATGTTAATCATCACCTAGAGATCGAGGCTCCCCGCTCAAGTCCTAAAGCCTCCCTTGGTCTCTCGGATTTCACGACAGATCCTCTTCGATTCATCGACTCTCGCCATCTCAACTCAGGTGGAGCTACAAAGAGCACGCCTTGATGTTCGTGGACCGCCTGTGAGGGATCTCAGATCGCTTTCTGTGTGGCGAGACCGTGTCAAAGAGTGGAGGTGTAGGAGCTCCTTTTCTTTGGAAAAAGCGACTGAAGCTCATGATTTCAAGTCCTTCTCTCTCTCTCTCTCTCTGAACTTGCGATATCACGCTCGGGCGGAGATCCGACGGACCGGCTCGCTGGCGCGACGGCGCGCGACGGACCGGCGCCAGGTTTGCCTACGACCTGGGGCCTGTGCTCTTCAAGCCCGCTGAGGCGGATGTTGCGGACGGTGGGTCAGGCTCTGAAGTAAGTACGAAGCTGGAGCTGAGTTGCGGGGAGTTGCTCGGTTGATGTTGCTTGGTTACACCAAATTGGATCCAACGTTCACCGGATTGGATGTCATTTTTCACGATGTGTCCGTGATTTCCTGCTACTAGATACACAGATTTGGGGGTCGAGGGTTGAGTTTGAAGACGGGAAGAAAGCTCAGCCAGTCAGTGTCTATGTGGTTGACCTCACTCCTTTCTGCGCGGGGGACATTTGGCGAAGTGGGATGAAAGGATCGGTTGTATTCATTTGTGTCTTGTAGATACTTGGTTTTGCTCATCAGATATTTATTTGTTGATTTCTCCTCATGAACTTCCTTGTGCGCACGGAATCTGCAAGTGTATCTATATATATATAAATACGCATCTAATATATATATATATAGGCGCTGTAAAATAGGAATGATGGAATGTACGTTTTACACATGACTGAAGTTGCAGTCCTGAATCAGCAAATTCTAAGCTGGATCATAAGTCCATCGCGTCCCTCTTATTTTGTGGGAGGCTGTTACCAGCAGATGTCCGAAACAACAGGGTGTTTCACCCGGAAAAGGCAGAGGATCTGAGAAGCTCTTTTTGGTGAACGCCATTCTTCATTTTGAACGCCCAAGACCATGGGACCTCTGGATTTCCGAAACCTGCAGACGTTTCACCGACCTCGCCCCGCCTCATCCATGCCATCGCCATCCACCCCCCGTCGATGGTGAAAAGGGAAAGAATCGGAACACCGCAACAAGCGACGTCCTTCCCGCAAACCAACCAACGAATCGCAAGCGACGTCGCCCAGTTCGTTTTGGTTTGGGGGTTACCGGGGGACCAGGGTCAGCCTGGCAGGATTTCTGGCTCAGAGTCCGAGCTCAAAAGCCTGAGCAATGGATGTCATGCATGTGAAAGCCAATATCAAACCATGTGGCATGATCCAGAGCAAATCAAAGGCATTGAGCTTGCACTTGAACCAGTTTGGGGTATATAGCTAAGGAGAGCTTCCAAGCTTCTTTTCAAGTAAGCCCTTGGCACAAGGCTCTTCATCCCAACATGTTCATCCATCCAACACACTGCGTTGAAGGCGTCATATCCAGGCACAAGTTGTTTGCTTTCTGCGACGGAACGCCATACGACTGTGCTGTCCCTTGGAGACTCTTTGGCCATGTCTGAAGCCAATAAGGAGGGTGTCGGGCATTCTGCACGGGTGGACGAGGTACCTGTAGGTGAAGATGTCTTCTGCGTCCACATGAACTACTTAGATTGGAGTATTTTTTGCGCTATCTGCCAGTGTAGCATTCTGCATTCAGGAGAACAAGCCAGGTGATGAGATCCTTTGTGAACCCATTCTTTAAAGTGTACTGCTTGGCCCGCCTCACCTAGCAACTCAACATAAAGCCCGGGTGCAAGGGTCTACTAGCTACTCAAGGCAGGTGAGCCCGCCATGCCCAAAAGCTAACTGCCTCTCTTCCAGGAGGAGATCGAGAAGTGCAAGCAGATTGCGCAGGCGGCCTTAGCAGGAGGAGATGATCCTTGGTTGCCAGAACCCTCGGCCAGTCTTCGGGACGAACAAGCCGAAAGACCATTGTGCGTTCGCTTCAACAACAAAGAACCACCGTCTCGTCATCGTCGCCATCTGCGTTTTGGACCGACTCGCGGTGTCGCTGCCTTCACGTCTTAGTCCTGATCCTCCACGGTGTCCGAGGCAGAAAAGGCCTCTCGCTTCTTACAAAAGGCCAAGCGCATGTGTCCAACGGACACGTCTATCGATGAGCTGCTAGCTCAGGCGAAAGGGGAGAAGGAATGTGTGGGAGAGATTGGAAGAAGAAGAAGAAGAGGTTTCAAACATGGGAGATAATCCATTGGTAGAGATTGAGTCATGATAGAGATTCGGGGGTTGTTGGGTGGATTTAGCAGAAACTTGCTTGTTCGAAAAGGATATGAGGGCATGCAGCTTATCGTTGTTGCTTGAACACTCGAAGCCAAAAAGGATGATCGATATATGTTAAATTAAAAATATATATATATAGTATCGATCGTTAAACAGTTTGAGTGTGGATCCTCACCCTACAACTACAACCGATGTCCCCTTCGACCGAAGCAGAAGGATGGGTACTGTACCTATGGTCACTTCCTGGTGGCCAAGGCCAGGTCAAACATGGATGGACTGACTCCTTTCCCTAGTTGCTAAGTTGTTACACACCAATACAACTGCAAGACCATTGTAGACCTGTTTACAATCGTTTGAACAGAGAATCGTCGCATCGGCACATTTGCCACATTCCGTTTTCGTCCCCAACAGGCTGCAGCTGGCGCGAGCGCGCCGCCCAGCAGCCCTGGTGCGGCCTCGCCTCCCCGCCACGCGCGGAGCGAGCCCGATCTGGGCAGCGGGGTCCGGCACCGCACAGCGGCGAGCAGCGCGCCCACCAGCGGACCCAGCAACGTGCGAACCACCAAGGACGGGGTTGATGATGGATGATGAGTTGATGGTTCATGAGGATGGATTCATGAGGATGGGTGAATGAATTTCAACTCCGTGCGGCTGCGGTGGCGCTGTTTGCACAACAAAGCTCTCTCTCTCTCTCATGTGTGGCAACTTGAACGCCAAATGGTTTTGGCGTTTTGTTCGGGGATCATGATGGATAATGTTTGGTGCTTGGTCGAGAGCTGGTCGAGAGCTGGTCGTGAGGCACGAAGCTTGGACATAGAGCTTCAGACTGCGATTTCATGGCCCTGCCAGAGGAATGTCCCGATGCAAAACGCTTTTTCCCGGTGGATTGGAACTGGACGATCCCTCCTGAGGATGGCAAGCAGTACACCTCCGAGCAGATGCAGTTGGTGCAACGCATCCTCCGCACTAAGGACGGGGCACCCCGGAGCGGTGTATGGACGAAGACAAACGACGGCGAACGTCAGGAAATCACGGGGGGCGAATGATGTGTGAAATCACGTTGGAAACCTGGCAGCTTAGGGAAATCTGTGGATTTCACATGGCACAGCTGCTTCGGGCCGATCTTGTCGGGTTTGACCAAGAAAGCTGATGTGCACCCAAGTTCGCGAGACCTTTTAAGTTGTTGAGTTGCTGCCCCACCCTGCTTTGGCTGCAGGACTACTATGACATCCTTGAGGTTCCTAAAAATGCCAGCGAGGAGGCCGCAAAGAAGGCGCTCTCATGGTTTCAGCTCTTGACGGAACAGCACGTGGGAGCGCAATCCTTCGAAGGTTTGCACCACGTGGGACGGCCCTTTTAGGGATCTTCGCCTCGACGGGAGGGAAAACCGACCGAAAAGAGACATCTTAGTCGATGCAGACTTGTGTCTTTGGGGGGTCGATGCAGATCCAGAGATCCTAACACGCTCTGCGGATCTTTGTTCCGTTTGGCTGCCCACCGAACACAACCCTGAGCCGGCCGGTCTACCATTGGCTCACCGGATTCACCGGATCTATTTTTGTTGTTGCCCAAATGGGCAGGGAATTGCATCCCGTGATAGGGCGGTAACTGGGGGGTTCCACTGTTGTTGAGCTTCGGCTTGCGCCGTGCACGTTGATGGCCCTCGGCTACAGCATTCAGCATACAAACAGCTGTAGAAGTCATCCCCGTGGTGAGGATTGCATTGCCTATATAGAGATTGAAACCAAAACGAGACTCTTACAGTTTTTCCTGGTGACTATTAACAATACCAGCAAGGTGATCGAAATCACTGTTCTGGATGAATTTCCAGCAAGGTGTATGTCTCACATAAATTTACCAGATTCTCATTATTTTTTTCAATTAATTCCATTCTATTTCAATTCCACTTGCGATGTCTTCCGTTTCTTTCACACTCAGCTCTCGTCTCGTCTCACCGCCGTTCGAGAGCTGCTGACAGAACCGGTCACACCGACCCTTCGGACGAACCCGCTCCGTTGTTCGGCTCGCAGAACGCTTTGGTCGAGGCTTACCGGAAGCTCGCCTTGAAACTCCACCCGGACAAGAACCATGCCCCGGGCGCAGATGAGGACAGGGGGCGGACAGTTTCTGGTGTTTGACTTGAGAAGCGGTGTACAAGCCACGAAGGGTGGCACACCATCGGCATGGCCACGTGTCTTGGTGTCTTTTCTTTCGGCTCCCAGGTTTGACACAAGCATTGCAAAGCTGTTTCGTTGTGAGGCCTTCAAGAAGCTCTCGAAGGCCTTTCAGTGCTTGACGGATCCGGAGAAGAAGACCCTCGTTTCGCATCGGAGCGAGGTCGAGGTCGGGGGTGGCCCTCGTGGCACCAGGGCCGCTCCATAGGTGTTTTGTATGGCAAGGGCGTGCAAGCTTTGACTTTTGGGTTCATTGAGTGGATGTGGCAGTATCGACCCAAGAATACAGGGTCCACCAAAGCTGGCGAGTTGGTACTGTACTTCGATCAAGAGCCTTTGTGGCTGGGGCAAACCCAACGATATTCGTTGAGAGAGGACCATTTAGGCTGGCCCTTCAGACGCCTTCAGACGTCCAAAAAACCATCATCACCATGAAAGATCATTAGATCAGGTTTAAAATTGACTGAAGTTCGATCGTTCATCGACATGTGCGGATTCCGCATCAGAATTTCTTCTATCTTAGTGTATGGTGTCACTCAATTCTCAGAGCAAGATCACTAGGTGTGTGTCAAGAAACATTATGGAAGACAAACCGATGTCTTATTAGACTCTTCGACGGTCGGGTGGGGGGAGAAAGGAAAAAAACACACACACTCCGACTCACTAATTAACATGGAAGTGGAAACTACCGTGTTTGTACAGGAACTTCCCAAAGGCCATTTTCGACTTCTATGTTAGCGAGTGGGAGAGTAAGCATTTCTTTCAGGTCCTGAAGTTTGCCCTAATTTGCCTGTCCAATAAAATCATGATCGTGGACGTTGACCATTTTGAACCTTTAAATCAATCATGTGAGGTAGTAGGAATGTTGCAGACGGGTATGTGTTCCACAAGGGGCACCTGGTTTTGAGGTGTCCAAACTACCTCCAGATTTTTTGCCGTCTTCGGCCTCCAATCATTCAAGTATATTCCAACAAATCCCAGCCCCAAAGAAGACCTCAAGGTCGCCCAATTGCCTCAAACCTCCCAACCAATCCACCAATCAGCCGACGTAAGGCAAGTCTACGACACCTACGGCGATGAGGATCGCATGCCCCAGCAGCAGCGGCATCACTACCAGCAGGACAGACGTCCCCCCGCTCTGTGCAGTCACCGGTCAGGTTAGGATCGTCAGTGGACCCAGTCAGTGGATGAACCTTTTTGGGGGGGTTGGCTTCTCTACGGCCGATCCAACAGGTGGAAAAAGGGGAGTTAGTCAGATGTGTGGGCCAATCGCCAAGGCCCATTGATGTCGCAGGCGTTCCTCCGAAGGGTGAGGAGTTCTGGTGTTAGGTCTGTTTCAAGAATAGATGCCAGGTCGACATAGGTCGACAACAAGATGCCTGGTCACCAGTACCGTGTGTACAGTGAGGTACTGTAATCATGTTGTCACTCGTGAGCATCTCCCCCCGCGGTGCTCTGAGCTCTGTTCGAAACACTGCCAAGCTTTTGGAAGTTGAGAATGAAAGACGACCTCAAGCAAGCACCGCTGTGTATTCAAGCCAAGTGTACACTCCCTGACTGCATCCTAGCCCGCTCTCACTCCCAATTTAGATATGTGTTTTTCCCCAAATGTTTGGGTTCTATCTTAGAAAAATAGAACTGGCCACACTCACTGGCCGCGCCCCTGAACTCTGTGGCTGGGCTCTGTGGCCCGGCTCTGTGTCCGGGCGTGCAGTTGCCAAACAGCTGGAGGCTTTAGAAAAGTATACTTGCATTCGTTTCCACCAACATTGGAATTTTCGGAGTTGACGCCGACGCCGAAAAAATGCTGACGCTGTTTGGGGTCTATGCTTGTATAATTCCAGAAATGCTGCCGCCCAAAGCTCCATGGACTCTGCCATCTATCCACTGTGTCTCCTTGCGCTTCCAAGTCGCAGGCTGGGAGATTGCCCCAGGGGACACAGCGGAGAAGCTCAGCTCCCATCACACAAATCCTATTCTTTCGCCCAAAACCTGCCACTCACCACCCAGCTCACCACCAGTCATCCGGCAACTCTGCACCTTCCAGGACTTCATGACCCCAGAGGACCTTTTTGCTGCCTTCTTCGGCGGTGGCCCCGCCTTTCACCAAGCTCACCATGGGCGGCACCATCACCACGACGAGGGGCAGATGCAACGCGTGCAGATCTTCCAAGCGCTGCCAGTGCTTTTGTTGGCGCCTAGGTGGAAGATGATGGAAGGGGTGATAAATCAACCGGCACGGATGCAGCGCTACCAAGATGTATGTCTTTGACCTATTGAAGCGTACTGGAACATGAACTGGACCCTCTCCTCCAACCACCAGCTGCTTGGAACTGGAACTGTTCCAACCACCCTGGGGCACACGGAACGATCGCCAGAGGCGATCGTGCGTCGCGCGAGGATCGCGCTCGGGTTTCAAGGCTGGTCCGATGCTGTAAGCAGGGCCCGTGAGGGGCCTGGTTCTAAGAAAGAAAGGAAGTAAGTAAGTAAGTAAAGACCATTAAGAACTCAGAACCCATAAAGCTTCCAGCACCTATTTAGGGAAAGACTTGACGCGTTTGTACCCCAGGTGGTCCAAGATTTGTGCGATCCACAGATAAATAGGCTTCACTGCCAAGATCTGCTCCATTACTACAAATATACAATCCATAATTATTAGTATTCAGCGAATGTCAGTACAACATTATGTGCTAAGGGGCCAGATATTCAGCAAGCATTTGCATAGTTTGGTCATTTTTCCATGTAGAGGTGCATTCAATGTCAGTTGCCATAGCCAAGAGAAATCTATACTCGGCTGTGCCTTGTGAAAATGTGAAGAGCCACTGAAGACGCCTTGAATCCACCGAACACCCACGCAAAAAAACGAAAAGGAACACATGCCATGCAGACTCCATGAGTTTTCTTCTGTGCCATGTTGCGTTGCCGACGATTGAATCACGGACCGATTTCTTGAGGTGCTTTTGACCTTGGCCTCCAACTTTGCTAAAGATGGTGGGAGCAACTCAGTCTGAGGCGTCAGTGCTTCGTTCGCTTGGAGGCCATCGCGATAACAACGCCCGGCGAGACCAACGGCAACCAACGGCACGGCAACGGGGTGATTCTTCCCACATTGGATAAAAGTTTGTCCCATCAACAGTTGGGGATGGGATGGGGATGGGATTGGCTGGACTTGAAGATGTGGACCTTATATAAGTTTGTTCTTGTGTTCATATCTTTTCATGTGCACTGATGTGAAAACACATCGCAAAGCAAAATTGCTACTGCTACGCTTGGACGAGCCGGACTGCTCGAGACAGAGAAAACAAAAACGACCCAGAGCCTCCAAATGGCTCAAGGCCTCCACGAGAATGGCCAGTCGAAGTCCCGGTGCCAAGACCACCAGGACTCAGGTTTTGGCGTATGTACAGCCCATCCAACGATGTTAAAAGCATTCAGAAAAATATGAAGAAATACTAAGAACCAGGCTGTTTCGCAGACCAGGCGTTGTTGGTTGGCAGATGTTGGCGTTGTTGGAATCTAAGACTTGAGCCCCAAAGGCTTCCCACGCACGACCCAGGCAAGTTTTCCTTTCAGCCGAACAACGCCTACCGGAACGAGCGCACCACCGCCATGCTGAACGTGGCATACTATGCGACTGGGCGGAAATCAGGGGCGGTTCGCGGGGCCCTCAACCATGATTTTGGCCTCACAGGCCCACATGGCGCCTCGTTTTAGAGATGAGCAACAGGCCGAAAGGTGGCAAATGTTGACCAGCCGGCCACCACCGCCTAGTTGGATGGGATGTGCTTTTGGACTTGAACAGGCCATTCTACAACTGCACCGACCGCGGGGTGTTTCGAAACGAGCAGAAAGCGTTTGACGTGACCTTTTTTGCAAAAGGTGTTTTCCTGGTTTTGTTCTCAGAGGGAATGCGAACTTGAATGACGATGCAGGAACAACAATAAAAAGCCCGTGTTTGATACGGAAAGCAAATAAACCGCAGGTCCGAAGATATTTGGAATTTAGAAGCCAAATATGAAAAACAATGAAGATGAAGACTAGCCCTCTCCGGATGTGTTGCACCTTTCAGGACCTCTTTTTGGTCCACAACTCAAGACACCTCTCCGATGCTTCGCACGCTTCGCCAACATCGAAAATCCGTGGTCCTTCGTTCAGAATCGCGGAACGAAGGTGACGGATGACTTTGAGGAACACTATTCTGAAGGAACGAAGAACTTGGCAGAGTTCGATCGCCAGGCGGGGGTTGAAACCCACGAAAAAGACCGCAGGTGTTCGAGGGATTTGCCACACTTCGAGATGTGCAACACCGAAGTCACTGCGTAGTGAAGGACTGGTGGATTCAGTTGAATTCAAGCTGCGGGTGAACCAAATGCGACCGTTTGGTTGAGAATTGCCAACATTTTGCAGTCGAGGTCCTTGCTGAGATGACCCTAGATGTTTCTCTGCAGGATGTTCTTCTTGCCCTCTGGCACTCATTTGGATCATCGACGGGAAATCCTCCCAGTTGGGTCAACCCTTGCTTCGCCTTGAGTGAAAATAAGTCGCGATCAGAATCGGTTGCGGCGCAGGTTGAGATCTACCATGTGCGCACCTTGCATAGCGATTGCGACTACCAGGAGAAGAATCAGTACAAGAAGGCATTTTTTGCGACTGCGCGCCTTCTGGAGGTTTCAGAAGACTTGGAAGGTTTTTTGCCGGATGATCGTAAGGCGGTGATCCCAGTTTGTCGTCGTGTAGCAGTATTGAAAATGTGAGCGGTTGTCACTGCAGCGGCGGTGAAGCTGGCTGTAGCCCTGGAGGCCGCCTGGCTGGCGGCCCAGAGCATGTTCACGCCTTCTCGGCGTCAGCCAGCATTGAACATCCATAGTAACTACCATGCACGACGGTAGGACGGGCTCCTCCCCCCTTCTCTCACAAATCCTCTTCGCAAACGGAAGGTCTTAGCGGCAAAGCGAAGAGGCAGCCAAGAAGACCTTCAGGCTGCGCGAAACCTCCCGCGGCCCGCATGCAAGGACGGCAGACGGGGCGACTAATGGCGGGCGACTGGCGAAGGGCCTTGCTCGCTTGCAAGTGATGGGGCCTTTTTATTAGACAAGACAGACCACCTACAGTACACAGCTGAAAACACCTTTCCATCTCTTCATGTTGACACAGACCCATGTTCTTTCCAAAATGTGGCACTACTCATTTGAGACAGCTCATTGATCAACTATGCGGCAAAAGCATCCGCACGTTTGGAAATTCGTCCCTTTGTATTCGCAGCCATTTTCCTGAGCGCTCAACTGTAACCGACTTCTCATTGAGTGATATTCCAGACTGACTGTCATGACAAAAGTTTGGATTTTCATGGGCGTGTGTGCCTTGACCGCTTGGAGAAGCTGGGCGAGTGCTGCTTGGAGCTGCACGAACAGCTCAGCTTCGGAGAGTGAGGAGACTGCCCTCATTCAACGGCTCAAGCGGCTTGAATTGCCAACGAAACGAAATGAAACGAAGATACTTTGAGACAGGTCCAAGTACTCCCAGCTTCCCATGCAGACGGCAGTATCGGAGTGAGTTGACATGAGTTGACAACCAGAGTATTTGGATTACTTTTGCATTGATCAGATCACAATGTGTAGGTAGCTAACGCAGATTGACTGGTTTGAGACAAACACTATTTTAAGTGAAACAGTTTTTTTGCTAACGGTGAAAACACTGAGCCTCAACTGGCTTGGGGTCCATGCTGGTGTCGAATGAAAGGGCGCGTGAAAACTGCCAGACCGAGGCAGACACCCAGTGAAGAGCGCCAATCTCGCAGGCAAGAACGTCGGCTCGAGCGGCAACAACGTCGGCTGCAACGGCGGGGCATTACAACCACCACGACCACCACGACCACTACGACCACGACCACTATGACCACGACCACTACCACGGCCACCACAACCACCCCTCCCACCACCACAACCACCCCTCCCACCACC